GTTTTTATGCTTTTTGACAATAGTTGGAATAAGAAAATTTTTTTTAATCCGTGTTATTATTTATGCAATAGGAATTAGTATAAACAAAAGTTTTTTTTTATTGATTGCGTTCTTTTCCATCAACATTATATCAGACTCTTAAAATAATGAAATACAGTTCATGTCTAATTCCTTTCTTAGAAATCACGTAACAAAATTGCTTGAAAAACCTTTTTTTTTTTAAACATTTTTTTTTTCAAAATTTATCTTTAGTTTAACCTTTTATTTTTGTTATAGTCTTTTTAAGTTCGTAGTTAAATTATTTTTGAAATCTTAATTTAAGCACAGCATTGAAACAAAAAAAAAATTATTAAATGAGTGTTTCCTGTTTAAGGCATAAATCTCCCTGCAAAATGTTTTTAAAAAAATGTGATCAATTCTTTTGTATTTTCCAGCAACCCCTCAACTTGGCGTGCAAGTAGAATTGAAGTAACTTAAAACGTAACATCTCGCAATGTCGCATGATTTACAGGCACCTCAGAGAAAAAAAAACTAAAAAGGAAAGAAAAAGGGAATAGACTAAAGTTAAGATTTTGTTCCTCTCTTAAATATCATTTCCAATATTTGGCATTCTCTGCAATAGGTTTAAACATTCTGCAAATTTGAATTGTATTAAATTCGTTGATTTAATCAAACTTAAGCAATGCATCAAATCTGAAAAAATTAGGAGTGATTTTTGCAGGTTCGACTATATTAAGTGCGCAAAAATTCTAAAAAATCTTGTTTTTATAGTTAATACTAATTGTATCTGTCTAATTCTTTTTATTTATAATTTTCTACAGATTTTTTGTTACTTTAGCTTTTAAAATGATGTTATTTGCAAAATTTCATAGTACTTTCTAATTATGTCATATATATGCACCAACAGTTAAGTTTCGATGTATTTAAATTATAAAAATTTCAACTTTCAGGTATTATATGTGTGTGGAATATGTAAATGTGCGTACAAGTATTGAAATATAAGGAGCTTAAAATTTATACAATCATACAAAAGGACGTTATAGCAAATAAAGTTGCCAAATAAAATTATTAGTATACCCAAATGTATATTAAAATATACAAATATTTTTAATGCCAAGCAAAACTTGCATCAATAGGAAAACAATTGCACAGTTAAAATATTGACGTATGAATGTTATGATACATATTCAATACTGATTCATTTATTTGGCTATTTTTTCTTCCTTGTATACAAGAGGTGTGATCCTTGTTAACATACATAAATGTATTTTTGTTTCTTACAATTTAAATATATTGTATTTATATTTATTTCAACATTAACATTTAGAGCTGCAACAGATCTTAATTAATTTTTTATTTCAAACATTTAACAATACGGCAGGATGTGATGGCTTAGAAATTAAACAACAGTCAACGTTTTAGATTAATTAAAAGGAGATAAAATTTACAATTAACTTAGTTTTAATAATCTGATAATTTATAAGCACTTTCGTTAAAGATGGTATTTCACTTTATAAAGAAACAGCAAGATAATACTTTACCTGGATACATATTTCAAGCAATACATTCAATATCTGCAAAAATATTGCGACAAAAATATGACAGCATACATTTTATTAAATTAAATATTTTAAAAATGACATAATTTTTTTCAATTCAGAGTCTCAAATGCTTCTCAAACAGTCAGTTTAAGAGTTTCTGAAATAATATATAGATTATATATTCTGAAATAATAATAGCAAAAATTAACTTTATTATTTAAGAATTTGTCAATTATTAATCATGACAGATAGTTGGATGAAACTTTTCACTGAACTCTATAGTATGCATTGTATGTGTAAAGTAAGTTTGGGAAAAATAATTTTGATGCGTTGCCATTAGAGTTGAATTTTTGATAGAAAAATACAAAATTTAGCACCAAGAAGTTATTTGGCTTTGATTGTATGGGAATTCAGTTTTAAGAGCGTTTCTGATGTAAATAATACTGTGGGAAATTTCGAGCATTGTTTACCACATTTCTAAATATTCATAAATTAAATTTTCGGGTTCTTTGGAAATGAAAATTACACAAAGTATTATTTAGTAATGAATGTGACGCAAATTTATAGGAAGCACAGTCAAACAGAAATTCTTAAGCTTTATCTTTAATTTTTTTGGGCTGTCAATTATAGAATTATAAAATAGATAATTTAAAAAAATTTTTACAATTGTTTCTTAACTGTTATAATATCGATGATTTTTAAAATAAATTGATTTACTTTCATTAGAAAAAGTTTAGCTAATGATTCTGAAGTCTAATGTAAGTTCAAACTATTTCAATGCATGTCAAAAATTAAGTTAATTAATAGCAATTTTTATCAAAATTTACAATCAAATTAAATGGATAAAAAATTCTCATAGAAGGAATATCATATCATTAATTTGAAAGTAATTGCCACTCCAACCCTTAAAAAATTTAAATGTTTAGGTTTTAACTTTTTGGAAATTTTATATTGGTAGTCTTTGTATTTCGCAACAGAGTTACTTAGGCATAACATAATAAATTAATAAGTTCTTCAATTATGAAAACTATATTTCGTTAGAAAATCTAATTATATATAATTAGTTGTGTAATTATACATAAAATACCAATAATTAATTAAACACATTTATGTTTGTTATTTAATTCAGTAATTTATTTTAAATAAACAGCAATATTATTTTATTAAGAAATTTAAAAACCATTTTTTTAAAATTTCAAATATTCAGTATTGATGATTTTTGCATTGAGTCAAAGAATTAGTAAATTTAAAAGTCATCATAAGTCATCATAAATTTAGAAGTTCTTAATACAATTCTTTAATTAATAATTTATTATTAAAAATCATTAACGAATCAAAGAGAAACTAGTAATTTTTATCTCGGAAATGCATTATACTGATTTTTTTTAATCAAATCTATGAGGCTATTTGATAAAAAACGAAGTAACCATATTCAAGATTTTAACCTAATAAATTAAAATCACAAATGCTTAAAGTTGATATTATGTAAAATTTTTCTTTGCTTTTGGTAGAAATATTAATAATATCAACAAATAATAAATGATTTTGAGCTGATATATTTTTGCATACATTTTTATATTAATTAAAAGCAAATAAAAGTATCTGAAAAGGGATTATTAAGTAGTTTTAAAACAATCAAATTCTTACTTTACATAAAAGTAAATGGATAGCACTTTAAATAATTAAATAGTTTTGTTATTTTTAATTTTTTATACATGACTGTTTTAGTTAAATTATTATATTCTTACATTGCAAAATATTTTGAAATTTTATACTGATACTTATTTCTTAATAACTGAACATTTTGCCATGTCATGATACGTCTCATGATCGATCGTTAATTTATTTTAAATATCTGTTAAATAAATTACCTGATAATTTCAACATCTGATACATTCTTTTATGTTTATTATGCATTAATGCAGGGAAGAAGAAAACAAATGGACGTCATTTGAGGCAATTAAAAGGACGGTTAACGTGGCATAAACTATAAGAAATAGCAAAAAGGACCACGAGACATTGCGATATGTTTTAGGAGTAGGAGATCTTTTGTAATTTAGATCATCGGTGACTGATAAAAAGTATCCGAATATAAAAGTTTAGTTTCAAGTGAATTTGGAAATTGATAGAAATTTTTGATAATAACATTATTATTTTTTTTAAACTTTTGCTCCAACGCAGAAAGAAAAAACAAATGGGAACATGCAAAATACAAGAATATATATAGTACATGAAAAGCCCTAAGCAATGAAAATCGGGTGAACTCTTTTATTCGTATTTCATATTAATTCATTTATGTCTATATTGATAATGTTTGAATTTTGTTTGTAAGATGCTTTTACATAGTGTTTTTTAAAGTATCTTTTAACCAAGTTTTTTTTTATAATTATAGGACTCTTCTTTTTTCCACAGAGTTTTTAACATATCTCGGTAGATTTCTTGTAAATATCGCTTTGCTACTCCATAGATGGAATCAATGAAATGTTAACTTTTTTTTAAAAATAATTGTCTAAATAATATGAACAACTTTCTCTCACCTTTGAAGTAAAATCGATAAATAATTATTATAATAACTGTAATCTTTTTCTACTTTTTTATTTTAGAAAATAATTTTAAGTTCATTATTATAAATTTAATCTTGTTTTAGGGTTTGAATATTTATATGAAGGTTTTGTTCTATATTAAAATTATAGTTATATTTTAAGTTTATATTAATAAACACCATAAACTGTTAAATATTATTTCATATGTTTATTTTAAACTAAAAGTATAAATAAATTCAAGATGAATTTACAGATGAGAGAAGTTCATCCGATAAACTTATTTGCCACTAAAAGTTTCTTTTTTTCTTTTAATTTATTAATAAAAATTTCTATGAAATAACCAGTACTTTTACTTTTCTAAATAACTAATTACTTTTTCTGCTAGAAGAGCCTTCATTCTCTGTGTGAGGAAGTTTAAGTTGATATCTCACTATTGCTGAAAAATCAGAATTATATATAAAATTCAATTATAAAAAATAATAAAGCAATAGCTATGTGAAACTAAACTCAAAGTTGTGTGAAAATAATTAGATGGAATGAGCATTCCAGGGTAAAATATTTCTACTTATTAAAATATTTTTATCAGTTGGAATTGTAGCGACAGTGTGCTTCAGTTGTTATGATCTAGACGTTCGTTATGGTTGATTCTTTTCAGTTAAAAACGTATAAAAAATTTAATGGTGTGACATTTTATTTATGACCAAGGAGTCATGATGTTTTAATGCTGCAAAGAAGTTTATAATTAAGATGGATACTAGGTTTTTAAATGGAAAATAGTCACTTTTGCTTTTGTTAAACTGTACTTAGTTTTTAATTTTTACAATTAGTAATCTAAAATTTAAATTGATACTTCATTATTCTTACCTTATAAAATTTTGCACATCAGTATTCTAATTTTAAAAATAAAAAAAATCTTTTTTAAATTAAAGTTTTTTGAAAAGATTTAACGCTCCCAAATAATTATAATATATTTTCTTTTTAAGAAGTTTCGTTTACATGCTTACTCGAATTTCGTTTTGAAGTATATTAAATTCCCTATTTCTCTTAATGATAGTTTAGGATTAGACTTGTAATTTTAAACAAAATTTAGAACACACAAACATTTTATAAGTAATGCATTATTGAAAAAACAATTATTTAAAAGAAAAATTTGACTGGATAATACGGAAGTGTCGAGTGTAATAATTCTGATTCTGTTGTGAATAAACTTTGAATAACCATAAAAAATTTAGATTTTTTAAAAATATAGTATACTCGTTTTATTTTAAGAACATTTTTTTCGCATCTTTTGCAATGTACTTAATTTTGTTCTCAGTTCAGCTCATTTTTATTTGTTAAAAAAAATGTACGCACAGTTTTTTTTGTCATTTTAATTGAAACGCAATACAATATAGTTTTCAGTTTTTGCTCAATACTTTAGTTCAATGAATAAATATTTACTTATATTTAGATTCAAATACAATTTTAATACCCTTCATTTCATTGCTTAGAGCATTTTCTAAACATTTGACAAACAGAAAAAATGACACACAATATTAAGGCATCAGTTTTTTTTCGTCCTAAACCTTTTTGTTTACTTTATGTACATTATGTATATTAAAAATGCATATTTTTCTTAAGGAAAAATTGAACAAAGTTCTGTACATGTATGAAGAATCAGGGTTTTGGGTGGGAAATTCATTCTTAAAAAACTACTCTTCCATGGGGGACAAGGGAGGAGAAATGCTGCAAAGGGAATGAAGAATAGGGGCTTTTGATTTATAAAACTAATGGATTGCAGAGACGGAGTTCTCCGTATTTTTTATTTTTTTTTATTTCTTTATTTCCGGAACGTCACGAACTTTTCTCCCTTTATAAGATGATCATATTCTACAAATGCTCAACCAGGAAACGTGGACAGGACTTTTTCTTCCTTCGGTGAAGAAATTCCTAGAAGAAATGGAAAAAATGTAGAAGATTAGAGATTTATATCGAGTTTATGTATATTACATCGAAATGAATACATAGCAAATAAATAAATCTTAATGCATTTTGTCAATATGCTTATAGCATTTCTCGGTGGTTTGGATTGCTGAATATAACGATTATTTTTTAGATTTAGTTTAAATGATTTAGCTTCGAAAGTAACTAATATAATAATTTTAATTTTTTATATGATGAAATAAAATTAATTTATCATTGTCTTAATTGGTAAATTAGTTATATAAAAGTATAATAGCTAATTAGACACTTAAGCAAAAAAAAACTTTTTTAAAAACCACATCATTCAAATTATTCTCCACAAGACAAAAAAGAGGAAAAGAATTTTTTTATTCATGTATAAAATCAAAAACGTACATATATATATATATATATATATCAGAGTTTNGTATTGATTTGTTACGAAAACATGGAGGACTTTGTGACTCAACAGATTTAACGTGCATCAGTCGCCATTTACTACACGGGGATTTCAAAAATCGGGATTCAGAATTTTTTCAACGCATATTATAAATATATATATGTATAAAAAATATTAAATATTTTATAACTATTTAAAACTATATTTTTTGAATGGAATTACCTTTGGAAAAACAAATTTTTGCAATTGTATGAAAAAATTTTCGTTTCTATCAAAAAGCAGATATGACAAGATTGAGATATTACCATCATTATCATTGAGCTATTATTTTGAAGCTATTATTATGCAATTACTATGAAATTAACAAAAGAGGACAAAATGAAAGATGTTTTTATTTATTTATATCATATTAATATTGAAAGTGAACATCATTTCACCTTATTTTCCTCTTTCAATCAAAATCCCTAAAATTATCAAGGTATATATATATATATATATATATGGATAATGATATTACAGGAAATGATCCCACTGCATTTATTATTTTATATTTAAGACTCCAAAGAGTGGCATCACTTTACATTCTAATGGGCAATAATGACCTTTGTGGGAAATTGACTTATCTGGTTGAATACTGCCGGAAATTCCTCACCTGTTATGTCTGTTTGATGATAAGCTGATATACTAAACTGCATAAATGATGTAGTGTTTGTAATAACCTGCGAAGATTATTAAAGGGAAGACTTCATTAATCAATAAGTGACATTCTGAATTGTTGTCGTGACTAAATTAGTCTGTGAATCGAAAATTGGAGGATTCTCGCCGTTTTTCAGTACCAATTAAGAGACGCATGCTGTTTGAATGGTTAATACTTTATTTGCATTATCTTCAATACATCGTGTTTGAATAGCTACCTGCAGAATTGAAACTCGTTCTCTCAAATCTGTCTATCTATACAAAATATATAGGACAGAACTAATGCACATATATGTTCCATTTACGAATCCAAAATTCCCACCAAATTTGTTGAAAATACATTCGAAGGACGGTGGTTGTCTCTGTTTACTTGATAACTCCTTCTAACGACTGATGTACTCATTAGAAAACTTAAAGAAGTAGCTTGCCTCGGGATGTAGTAAATATTTAGCACCAATGATTTCCTAGCTTGCAGCTCTATTTTACCAAAAATGAGTTTCCACGGAAGAGTTTATAACACGCTTTTATTAATTATTTAATTTTGTATTTCTGTGCTAGATTAGCACAAGTAAGAGTAACATAGATTATTTCGTGACGTATAGAGGCAGCGTTATCAAATTAGCATTTTTAAAGTTTCATTAAACCTTACTTTTTACATACTTTTTGTTTTGTTTTAACTTTTCGTTTATACCTATGCTTTAAAATTGTGTTTCTATAAGCTTAAACATTGTTAGGTCAATGCGAATCAATAAAGAAAAACTTGTTATAAGTACTTATTCATCGTAAAAACTGTAAACTTTGTGGTAAATTTTGACTCTCACGGGTAAAATGACATTATACGTATAGTTAAAAATTTTTTGGTGAGTTGAACTTCTAAATGTTTTTTTTTAATGAATCTAATTGTGTGGAGCTACAAAAAAGGACAACAAGTAACAAACCAAAGAAAGGTATACCTAGTGCTAATTAGTAATACCTAGTTAATTTGTAGCAGGAAAATAAATATAATTTGTATCACCATGATATTAGATTACCAAAAAATTTTTTAGTGCTACCAGTAAATAAATGTTCAGGTTACAAGTATAAACTTTATTGCTACTCGTATTTCTAGAATTGTAATTATGTTAAATCCTGATTCTTACAAATTAGTACAATAAGGGGAAAAGAATTAAAACTCTATACAAACTATCAATTTTTTAAGCTAATTTGTAACACATCTAAAAAAAGGCTTTGTAATACTGTACTACTTTTTTTTCTTTCAAAAATGATTACAAATCGAATTTAAAGCTTGAGAAAAGTTCTAATTGCCATTTAAAGTGTAAGTTATAGATAAAAAATCTGAAATTTTAAGCAATTTTCGCGTAAATCGTAGTATTTTTTTTTTTTTTAAAATTGCAGTTTTTATGGTTCATCCTAGTTTAGCGCTGTTAATCTATCATCGCAGTTTTTTTCGAAATCATCGCAGTTTTGCGATTTTATCGTATTACGTTTTTAAAAATAGAAACTTATTGAAAACTCCAGAGGAATTTACTAAAACAAGATGAATCTCGTTGAGTGTCAGTTTCTTTGATAACAAGGCAAAAGAGGAATTTAATAACGAGAGGAGTCAGGATGAAAATTAGGAGGGAGAACGTCAAAAAGATAATTCAATAAAAAATGACAAGAGTAAATTGGTCAGTAGATCTTTGCTGCTCATATAAAGGAATATAACTTTATGCAGTCAAACCCCGCTTTAGTGAACATGATTTACAGTGAACTCCAGGATATAGTGTTTGCTCCCGTGTCTTGCTATACACATATAATATTTTTTGTGTGGATATAGTAAACCAAAAGAAGAGAGAAATTGGATATTATGAACTTTTTTCTGTCTTCGACTGATTTTTTTCTTTACATTTTGGTAATTTTGAAATTTCTACATAAAATACATATTCCAATTTTTGAAACTATCTAATGAGTGGTGGAATGTAGCCATAAGCATTTTTCAGTTCTCTCAGTTTCCCATCCCTATATAAAGGACACCCCTAAAGTTTTTGTAAGCAAGACGAAGAGTAATAAAAAATAAAAGTTTACACATTTTTCGTTACTACACATTGTTTTTTAATAATTTTTCTATTTCTTTTTATTGGTCATTTGTGTATATAATGTGTAATAAAAGGGAGCAGTTCAGAAAAATTTGTTAAAATTGTTTGCAGTACGGATATAGTGAACCCCCGGTTATAGTGAACCGAAATTTCGGTTTCTTGAAGGTTCACTATAGCGAAATTTTCTATATAAGTACTACTCAGAGTTGGCCGTTGATTACAGTAATCGATTACAACTGTAATTGATTACAGATAATTACAGCTATGTAATCAATTACTTGTAATCACGATTACAAGTAATCAATTACTTGTAATCGTGATTACAACTTTCAAAAAATTTTGATTACAGCTGTAATCATGATTACAATTTTGATTACAGTAATCAATTACTTGTAATCATGATTCCAAGTAATTGCGATTACAAGTAATCACAACAAAAACGATTACAAGTAATTATGATTACAAGTAATCAAAATATATGATTACATGTAATCATGATTACATGTAATTTGATTACATGTAATTGTGATTACTTGTAATCAAACTATACGATTACAAGTTATTACGATTGTATACTATAGTCAAATTTTTTATGTAAGTATTCATGTGTTTACATATTTTTATGTACATAGAATGTACGCACGCATGAACGTACAATTTGCGATTCCTATACATACAATGTATGCACAAACGTTGTTTGTACGTACAATATTCATAATTATATTGTAATATACTTAATGCAATGCGCATATGCTTAGTACATATAATTATGCATTTATGATACATGTACGCATGTATGTTAGTTTGTACAAAAAGGCAATGTTTTGTATCTTTGTATACATAGACAATGTATGTATGAACGTATATGAAAATAATGTTTATGCGTTTGCATGCTTTTATGTACTTAAGTGCATATATTGTATAAATTTACGATAATAGCACGTATATACAATGTACGTTTGTATATAAAATTGTACGTATTTGCGTACAATATGTAAAAATGTTATTTAAAGGTACAATATATGCACATAGTTGCGTAAATAAAATGCGTACATGTATACATGCATATTTATATGTACATCGATATATGTGCACGCAAAGTATGTACTTATGTACAACTTACGTATGTACTTGTATAACTACATACTTTGTTAATACTTATGCGCATGTAATGCATGGATGTACAAAAAAATAGTTATATGCACAATGTATGCATGTGCATACAACGTATACATGTACATAATTACAAGTAATGTACAAATACGTGCGTACATTTAAATATATGTAATTACAATATACACATACATTGTGCATACATTAAAAAAATTTATATGAGTAAAGTTATTAAAATTTGTTTTAAAATTATTCTAAGGTATATGAAACTCGACCTCATATTTTTTAGAAAGCAAACGATAATTTTATTTGGAATTTCTAAATATTAATTCCACACATAAAATTTACCGTTTTTCTTACCATTTAAAAAATTTCTATGAATCATGCATTATGTTATAAAAAAAATAAATCTGTATTGTCAAACATTTCATGAAAATACCTGAAAATAATTTTTTATTCAGAGAATTTCAAAATGATATAGAACAATTAAAGCTGAAAACTAAATTTAAATATCGTTTGATTTTGTCATTTAACTTGCTTGAGTCATTAAAAGTTAACTTACATGCATTTTATTTATTGCATTGTACACATATTTAGACATAAATGTAATGTACATATGTATACGTGTAATGTATGTACGCATGTACAATGTATGTACATACATTCATGTATTGTACGTGCATATATAGTACATATGGATA